ACCCAGGTTGACATTCGTGAGGCAGGCTTAGGCCAGGAGCCTGGGCTGAGGATACCCCAGCGGGCAGGCGCCTGAGAAGAGCCTCCCCTCCCGCCCTATTTACAAGCTCAGGTGTCTTGTTCATTCACTAGAAAGCCACAAAGGCTCCATGGTCATAGTTATTGGGGTGCTTCCTGTCCCTGCAAGGCAAGGGTGTCAAGATGTGGGTGGTGGGTAGAAGCCTGGTTAATTGTTACAGACACATACAAAAGAATGCTCTCTAGTTAAAAAACGAGCAAGGCAACGCTGCATTTTCCCCCCATTTTTCTCCTTTTGTCTATTTTTTTAAATTTTGAACAATCTCTAAGATATATGTCACCCACACAGAAGGGACAAGTCCCAGGTAGACCATATAGTATAGTCTCATTTTTGGAACAAAACAAAACACCCGAAGCCGGGGAGTGTGGGGCCGACCCTGAGCCGGGGAGACTGTACCCGGGTGCCCCGGCAGGGGTTGGCCCCTCATGGATCGGGATCCTAGCCCAGGAGGTTGGACTCCCCCTTCGTTAAGACCCCAGGGTCCCAGACATGGAGGCGGCCTCGGCGCTCCACTGTGCAGGCCCTCGGGCAGGCAGCGTCAGTTTCCCCACGGGCAGAAGCCAACCCGAGGCTGGGGTGCCCTCACCCCGCGTGCTCCCCAAGACGATCGCCTCCGCGCCCCGGGCGGGACACGTGGGGCCCCGCGAGAAGGCCCGGCAAGCCGGAAGTTGCAATGGGGCAGCCGGACTGAAAACGCGGGGACACCGACCGGGGTCGACCGCGCTAGGGTAACCCTCCCCGCTCGGTGGAGCTGCCGGTCGGGGACGCGGACGGGAGCGCGCAGGTGAGGGCGGTGGGGCGGAGCCATAGGGGCTGCGGCCAATCACCTGCGCCTCCTGTTAGGCGGGGGCGGGGCCGTTGCCTGGGCGACGCGCTGCCGCGTCTGTGTTCTGTGAATTGCTGCGCTAGGGAGTGCCGACAGGTGTGCGCCGGGCTTGCGGGGCTCAAGCTGCTCGGAACTTGTCCTGCGGTGGAGTCGGTTTTGGGACCCGGTCGCCTTCGCGCCTCCGGGGGTGAACGGGTCACGGGCCGCTCTGGCTTTCACGCCCTGGTGTCCGGTGGCCCCGGGAATTATTTTCTTCTTTAAAAAATGTGTATTCCTTGGGTCCTACCTATCTAACACTTCTGCTGGTTTCTTTATCTTTTAGAGTTCAACATTTGCTCTGCTCTTTATTATTCTTATTTTTCTTTACCTCGCTCAATTCCTTTATTTTCCCCTATCGTCGTCTCCTTCCTTTCTTCCTACGGCAAGCAACATCGCCCTGTCTCCATCCTGGCATAGCCACTTTAATTAAGTAACCAATTATTATTATTATTATTTTGAGACGGGGTCTCACTGTCACCCAGGCTGCAGTGCAATCTCGGCTCACTGCAACCTCTGCCCCACCGGGTTCAAGCAATTCTCCTGCCTCAGCCTCCCGAGTAGCTGGGATTACAAGCGCCTGCCACCATCCTAGCTAATTTGTGTATCTTTTAAAAAAATTATTTTACTTTAGGTGCATAATGTATCTGGCATTTCTCCCCATGTTATCCCTTCCCACCCCCTAATTTGTGTATTTTTAGTAGAAACATGGGGCTTCAATATCTTGGCCAGGCTGGTCTTGTACTCTTGATTTAGTGATTCACCCGCCTCAGCCTCCCAAAGTGCTGGGTTTACAGGCGTGAGCCACTGTACCCGGCCTAATTCTTGCAGTCTTTACTTAACGGTCAGGTTGATCTCTGAGAGCAGATTACGATTATTTTACTAAAGGTGGAGTCCTCTCCTTACTGAGAGTCAGTGAAGCCCGAAGCTCTGCTAAGCACCTTCGTCCATTATAGTCAATTCTTTTTTTTTTTTTTTTTTTTGAGACGGAGTTTTGCTCTTGTCACCCAGGCTGGAGTGCAATGGCATGATCTTGGCTCACTGCAACCTCCTCCTGGGTTCAGCCAATTCTCCTGCCTCAGCCTCCTGAGTAGCTGGGATTACAGGCACGCACCACCATGCCCAGCTAATTTTTTGTATTTTTAGTAGAGACGGGGTTTCACCATGTTGACCAGGATGGTCTCGATCTCTTGACCTCGTGATCCACCCGCCTCTGCCTCCCAAAGTGCTGGGATTACAGGCTTGAGCCACCGCACCCGGCCAATTTTCTGTCTTTAAATAGAGTTGAGGGTCTCATTTTGTTGCTGAGGCTGGTCAGGAACTCTTGGGGTCAAGCCAGAGTGAGCAATGGACTGAAAGCAGAAGTGTGAGGGGTCCTGGAAATGATGACACTCTTCACTCTGCCAACTAGGAGGAAAGCTGGGACTGTGTGGGGTAAAAGGGCCCCTTTCAGGAGTGAATTCCCTGGCCCTGGACACTCAGCTTTCCTCCTGGTGGGCAGAGTGAAGAGTGTCATCATTTCCAGGACCCCTCACACTTCTGCTTTCAGTTCATTGCTCACTCTGGCTTGAAAACAATACTGACTTGCTAAGCTGCATGTCCGTCTTGGCCTTGAGGATTAAACACCTGGAAGCCAGGTGTGGTAGCTTGCCCCTTTGGTCCCAGACACTCAGCAGGATGAGGCGGGAGAATTGCTTGAAGCCGGGAGTTTGAGACCAGCCTGGGTGACACATCAAGATCACATCTCTAAAAAATCAAAAACAAACAGAACACTTGGCTGGGTGCAGTGGCTCGGCCTATAATCCCAGCACTTTGGGAGGCTGAGGTGGGTGGATTGCTTGAGCCCAAGAGTTCGAGACCAGCCTGGCCAACATGGTGAAAGCCCGTCTCTACTAAAAACACAAGAATTAGCTGGCTGCAGTGGCCCTCGCCTGTAGTCCCAACTACTCAGGAGGCTGAGGCAGGAAAATTGCTTGAACCTGGGAGGTGAAGGTTGCAGTGAGCCAAGATGGTGCCGCTGCACTCCAGCCTGGGTGACAGAGCGAGACTCTGCCTCAGAAAAACAAAACAACAACAACAAAATCCCAAAAACAGAACATCTGGAAAACACCAGAGACAAACCCTAGGAGTCATTTTTCTTTCATCAAATTGACAATACCATCAATCAGAATCTTGGAACTCCTAAAACATGTTCAAGGAAATCCTAAAACATGTTCAACTCCAAAAGCAGAGTTGCAAGCTCAAATGCTCAGAGGCCGAGTAGGCATTGTGGCCACCTAGAAAGTGGGCCCCGAAGGTGGGTCCCGCATGGGCAAATGTTCTGATTTTTTTTTTTTTAAAGAATCAATTTTATAGGCCAGGTGAGGTGGCTCCCACCTGTAATCCCAGCACTTTGGGAGGCTGAGGTGGGCGGATCACCTGAGGTCAGGAGTTTGAGACCAGCCTGACCAACATGAAGAAACCCCATCTCTACTAAAAATACAAAATTATCCGGGCGTAGTGGCACACGCCTGTAATCCTAGCTACTTTGGAGGCTGAGGCAGAAGAATTGCTCGAACCCCAGAGGCGGATGTTACGGTGAGCCGAGTTGAGCCATTGCACTCCAGCCTGGGCAACAAGAGCCAAACTCAGTCTTAAAAGGAAAAAAAAAGAATCAATTTTATAAGATCTCCCCTCATTTTTAAATGTTAGAAACTAAGTTAAAAAAAATTTAAGTCCAAGCACGATGGCTCGGGTCTTTAATCCCAGCACTTTGAGAGGCCAAGACGGGTGGATCACCTGAGGTCAGAAGTTCAAGACCAGCCTGGCCAATATGGTGAAACCCCATCTCTACTAAAAATACAAAAATTAGCTGGACATGGTGATGTGTGCCTGTAATCCCAGCTACTCAGGAAGCTGAGGCAGGAGAATCACTTGAACCCAGGAGGCAGAGGTTGCAGTGACCCAAACTCCTGCCATTGCACACCAGGCTGGGCCACAGAGTGAGACTCCATTTCAAAAAAACCAAAATTAAACCCTCTGGGCACAAGAGCTCAGGTCTGTAATCCCAGCACTTTGGGAGGTGGGAGGATTGCTTGAGATCCGGCATTCAATACCAGCCTGGGCAACAAAGCAACACCCTTGTCTCTACAAAAACAGTTAAAAAATTAGCCAGGTATGGTGGTGTGTGTCTCTGGTCCCAGCCACTTGGCAGGCTAAAGTGAAAGAATCACTTGAACCCAGGAGTTTGAGGGTACAGTGAGCTATGATTGTGCCACTGCACTTCAGCCTGGGCAACAGAGCAAGACCCTATCTTACAAAAAAAAAAGTAAACTCTTGAGAGCCCACACAACACACCAAGAGCTGGTAGACACAACTGTGTCTGTCTACTGGGTGAAGCTGTGTGTCTCAGGGGATTCTGGTGAGCCAAAGACAGCGGGCATGAGAATGTTTTCTAGAGGAAACTTCCTGGAATCTGATTCCAGGACTGTGCCCCTGGCCCTTTTCCTGCCACCCAGCCCCCATGCCTGTCCAGGAGAAATAATTCCTTCCCCTGGAAAGTAAAACCCAGTTTCTGTCCTCTCCATCTTAGGCCTACTTCTCAGGGTCTAAAGGGAACCAACCGGTGCCTCAGAAGCAGAATCTCCAGCTGCCAGGGGTGTTTGCGAACCTAGGGCCCCATCTATCCCCAAGCTGAAGTGAGTCTGGAAAAATCAGATTTACTCACTTCTTTTTTTCATTTTTTTATTTCTTTTGAGACAGAGTCTCACTCTGTCACCCAGGCTGGAGTGCAGTGGTGTGATGCTGGTTCAGTGCAACCCCCAACTCCCGGGTTCAAGTGATTCTCCTGCCTGAGCCTCTCAAGTAGCTGGGACTGCAGGCCTGTGCTACCATGCTCAGCTAATTTTTTTTTTTTTTTTATTAGTAGAGATGGGGTTTCACCATGTTGGCAGGGATGGTCTTGACCTCTTGACCTCGTGATCTGCCCGCCTCAGTCTCCCAAAGTGCTGGGATTACAGGTGTGAGCCACTCCACGCCCAGCCTGATTTACCCACTTCTTCCTGAGGTGTGGAGCATCCGGGTTGGGGGGAGTCCCCAGCCTGTTTCCCAAGTTCACTCTTAGGGGGAGACTTCTGTGCCAGTCTTGGGGGTACCTAGAAGGCCCTTGACTAGGAGTCCTTAAGTGAATTTGGAGTCCCTCAGGAGACAATAACCTTCAGAAACCCCGTGTGCTAACATGAACGGTCATGCGCTCTCCACCGTGCCAGATGCCCTTCTTTCTACCTGTGAGGACGACTGCAATACTCTTTGAAACTTCAAATAACCCAATCTTTCCACGAAATACATCTTCCCATTTTTCCATTTTGGTGGCCCTGCCTTGCTGGCATGACAAACACGTGCTGGGTGAAGCCATCCTCATAAGCCAGCATAGCGGATCTGGGAGTTACCTCTTGGCCAAGAGCAGGTGCAACCCAGGCTCGGGACTCCAGACCCGGAACCCTCAAAACCGGGAACGCTGTAGGGCTGCGGCTGCATGGGGAATGGGATCTGGGAGGGACTTCCTGTTGTCCCTAATCCCAGTCTCCACCCGGCTCCCCCGCCCCGTGCAGGCTGTGGAGACTCCCTTCCCCGGGGACGGGGCTCCTGCTGCTGCAGGTGGCCTCTCTGCCTCCACCCCGGTGAGAAGGGGGTGTTGGGGAGGGCTCCTGGATCCCGATACCGGCGCAGATGATTAGCATGCAGGAGGGGATGGGGTCAAAGGTGGAAGGCTTCGAGCTGGCAGGAGAGAAGGCGGCCAGGACCAGGTTTAGGAAGGAGAAGGACGTTGTCTGCCAAACCCGAGAGCAGGATGGGCATCCCAGGCCTGGGGCAGGTGGTTGCATCTGGAGGGGGGCTGCTGAGAGCAGGCAGGTTGATTTCTGAAACCCAGGTAGGGCTGGGAGTCAGGTATGGACACAGGGTACATGTCCCGAGGCTGGGGGACAGCAGGGCCTGGATTCCCCTGGCCCTGGTGGGTGGGGTCCCTCCAGCACCTGTTCTGCAGGATCACTGCAGAACTTTCTGCTCCTGATGACAGGAAATATTCCGATTTAGCCCCGGCTTTCCCTGAGCCGACTGCACTGAGATGTAAGGCTCTTGCTTCAGCAATAAAGGGGACAGTGCGAATAGCACTCCTTCAAAAACAGGACCCAGAAAACATCACAGGGAGCGGCACCATCGGATAGGGTCTGGGAGACTTTCTTTCCAATGGGGACCAGGCAGTGCTGGTCCTCATGGGGATATTCAGGGCTCTTTGGAGGTGTCCAGGAAGTAAGGGCTGGTTTCTGTCTGCTCTTCCAGGCTCCTGGCCAGAAGCTGGAGGGGGATTGGTGGAGAAGAGGGAGCAGCAACTCAGCTGTTCTTTCTAGTTCTGAAATAGAAAATGTCTGCAGACGGTGGAGGCATCCAGACCACCCAGGACAAGGAGACAGCCCTGGAGGTACAGATGGGGCCGGGTGAGGGAGGCGTGCTGTGGGAGAGGCTGGTGCGGAGATTTCCAAGGCAGGGAGTCTGGACTCATGGAAGAGTTAGAGTCACTGGGGTGGGGGGTCAAAGAGAAGGTGGCATGCTGGGTAGTACCCTCTGTCTGGAATTTACAGGATAACAGTTTTGCTTTCCTGGTGAATTCTGTAGTCAGTGGCCACAGGAGATGGCAGGGGGCTGGGTGGGGTCCTATTGGTGAAGTTTTCTATCTGAGCAGCACTTAGAGCACACAGGGAAACCTGTTATCCTGCCCTGTGCTTCTCTATCTGGAACCACAACTTCTCATCTCTCTGGGTCTGAGCTCCCAGTCCTTCTTCCTGCCTGTACCTGCTGCCTGTGTGTGCATGCATTCGTGCGTGTGTGCATGTGTGTGTGTGTGTAATTACTATTTGCAGGGGACCTGGGTCTCCGGGCTTGGAGTCGGAGGAGTATGAGTCAGCAACAGGCCAGGGGCCAATCCCTGGCCTCTGGGAACCAGATGTGTCACTGTAACATGTAGATCATGTACCTGCCATTCCCACCTGCCTCGCAGGGTCATTGAGAGGCTCTGAGGAGACACTAGGCATGAGATGCCATCATCTATGGTTTTCACACCATAGAAGCACAAAGAGTCGTTAGCATGGTTCAGTTTCCTGTCCACTTCCGTGTGCCCTGAACACCCTGCGCCTGGGAGTGGAGCCCACGGGTCGGCTTTCTCTGCTGGCCCTGGCTTCTGTCCGGCGTGCACGGGAAGGGAAGAGTGGCCAGCGCCAACCTGAGTTTGCCCAGGACTTCCCTGAGCCAGCAGCTCCTTCTCCATCATGATCTGTGTGAACTCATGACTGCTCTGTGCAGGTGATGAGCAGCTGTGTCCCAAAGGCTGCCTGGCTGGGGAGGAGTGTCGCCAGGTCTGGCACCCAGGGACCCTGACTCCTGGCCTGAGGTTCTTTCCCTCCAAGACCCAAACACAGATAGGGCACGGAGGAAGGTGTGAGGCCCCAGCAGAAGGCTCACCAGTCCCTGTGCTGTAGATGAGGCCCCACCAGGGCCCTCCCTGACTTTCTTGAAGCTTTTGAGCTCCGTGGGGGCCGCTGTCTCTTCCCCAGCCGTGGTGTGTTCGTCTCCCGTGGCTGCTGTCAAAAGTTTTCACTCTCTGGGGATCTGAAAACAACCAAAATTGGCCGGGTGTGTTGGGTCATGCATGTAATCCCAGCACTTTGGGAGGCTGAGGTGGGCAGATCACCTGAGGTCAGGGGTTCAAGACCAGCCTGGCCAACATGGTGAAACCCCGTCTCTACTAAAATACAAAAATTAGCCGGATGTGGTGGCGCACGCCTGTAATCCGAGCTACTCAGGAGGCTGGGGCAGGAGAATCGCTTGAACCCGGGAGGCAGAGGTTGCAGTGAGCCGAGCCGAGATCACGCCACTGCACTCCAGCCTGGGGGACAACACCGAGACTTTGTCTAAAAAAACGAAAAAAAAGAACTAGAATTGACTTCTCACAGTCCTGGAGGCCTGAAGTCCAAACTCTAGGGTCTGCAGGGTCATGCTCCCTTTGGAAGCTCTAGGCTAGGAGGACCTGCCCGTGCCTCTTCCAGCTCCTGGGGGCTCCTAGTGCCCTTGGCACGGGCATCCCTCCAGTCTGCTTCCTTCTCTGGGTCTTCTCCTATTCTTATAGGACATAAGTCATTAGATTTTAGGCTCACTCTAAATCCAGGATCATTTCATCTCAGGATCTTTGACCTCTATAAAGACCCTTTGTCCCCAGTAAGGTCCCATTCTGAGGTTCAGGGAGGACATGGATTCTTAGGGGACACACTCAAGCCACCAAGCTTGGTTTCCTCATATACTAACGAACAGCAGTCTACACCGCTGTGGTCTGTGTGAAGGGGTAGCTGTCCTCGGCATGTGCCCACCTGCGCCGCGGTGGCAGAGTGATGAATGCCCCTCCTCTTGCTGCCTATCCTTGCTGGGGTGAGCTGGAGTGGAAGCAGCAAGGCCAGCCCTTCAGGCTTTGTCTTGCCTGTGGGTTCAGACCCCACTGGAACACCCTGGAAGGCGGCTCTGGGTGTCTCTCCCACTCATCCGGCTCCTCACGGGTCTGTTCCTTCTAGGTTCCAGATCGGCGACATCCTCATCAGGAAATGCTTTCTGCGCTGGGGGAGGCGGTGCCTCCAGGGGCCACTCACGAGTCATCACACATTAAGATGGAGCCAGAGGAGGCACACCGCGAGGGGGCATCGCAGGAGGACGGGGCTCAAGGTGCATGGGGCTGGGCACCCCTAAGTCATGGCTCTAAGGAGAAAGCTCTCTTCTTGCCTGGAGGAGGTAGGAGAGGGACGGGGAAGAGGGGCTTTCCCAGGGAGGCAGCTGCGGGGAGGTCGAGGCTCGGCCCAGGTCCAGGTGGGGCTGAGGGCCTCTATGCCAGCAGGGGATGCACTCTCCCCATGGCCCCCTGCCCCCTGGCAGCCCCAGAGCCATCTGACCCTGTCCTTGGGTTGGGCCGGGGTGGAGTTTGAGGCAGCTAGGGTAGCAGCAGGTCCAGCAGGATGAGCTGGTCACCCTGAGGACCACTCTCCTCCCACAGCCTTCCCCTCCCCCCGGATCCCAGTGCTTTCCCGAGAGGGGAGGACCAGAGACCGGCAGATGGCCGCGGCGCTCCTCACCGCCTGGTCCCAGGTGAGTGGCCCTTCCCCGGCCCCTGCATGGTGCTCAGTTCTTCTTGCATCTGCTGGTTCTGTGCAAAGCCAGGACCCTGCTGGCCCCACTTGCAACCATGCCCAAAGCCTGGGGCTCTTGCTAGTGCTGCTGGAATTGTCCAGGCTCAAGGCCCACAGTCAGGCCTGGCCAAAGCTGCAGGAGAAGCAGCAGGAAGTAGAGACACAGGAGCTTTCACTGGAAGCTGTTGGGAGCCGTCTGAGCTGAGGATGGGGCTACTTGGGCATCTGAGTCTTAACTGTAGTCCCTGAAAATACCGTTTGGTCTTTTCTCAACTCCCCAGAAGGCCTCAGGTGGCTCACCCGCTTCCCCATCAGATACAAGCGGCCGGCCTCACTCGAGACAGTGGGTTGGGAGTCCGGGGTCTTGCCACACATCTCATGTCATGGTGTCCCTCCACCGTGTCCACAGTGTGTCCTGGAGAGTGGATGTTTCACATTGTTTCAGATGCCAGTGACCTTTGAGGACGTGGCCTTGTACCTCTCCCGGGAGGAGTGGGGACGGCTGGACCACACGCAGCAGAGCTTCTATAGGGAAGTCCTCCAGAAGAGAAACGGGCTGTCGCTGGGTGAGCACCTGCCTGGTGGGGGACTGGGGTGTCAGGGAGGGTCCTGCTCTGCCGTCTCCTCTCTACTAACGGGCTGTCGCTGGGTGAGCACCTGCCTGGTGGGGGGCCGGGGTGTCAGGGAGGGTCCTGCTCTGCCGTCTCCTCTCTACTAACGGGCTGTCGCTGGGTGAGCACCTGCCTGGTGGGGGACTGGGGTGTCAGGGAGGGTCCTGCTCTGCCGTCTCCTCTCTACTCCCTTTCCTCCCGCTCCCTCCCATCCTCCTTGTCCCTCGAGACGGCACCTTGGCATCTGGGCTTCCATGGAAACTTCTATAATTCTGAGTGTGCTAGGATGGTGGCCACAAGCCCTGTGTGGCCACTGAGCACTTGGAATGTGGGTAGAGTCCTCAAGATTTTAACTTTAATTGGTTTTAATCAGCTCAAGTTAGAGTTTAAAAGCCGTGTGTGGCCAGCAGCTCCTGTACTGGACGCTGACCCAGGAAGGCCGCTTTTCCTCGGTTCATCCGAAGGGCTCCCTCCTGTAGTTCCAGCTTCCTTTCCAAGCCCCAACTTCAGAGGTGTCTGAGCAGCGAGCTCGGCTCCGGGGCCTGAGGGCTGCCTTCCCTGCAGGGAAATGACATGAGCAGAACTCCTCAGGCCCTGCAGACCCTGAGGTGCCCCAGCTGCTTTGAGGAACAGGTACTTGTGTCTGAGGGGCTTTGGTTCCCTTAGTTTCTTGGATGGCAAGTATTTGAGTCGCGGAGCTTTTTTTTTTGAGACAGAGCCTTGCTCTGTCACCCAGGCTAGAGTGGAGTGGTGCCATCACAACTCATGCAGCCTCAAATTCCTAGGTTCAAACGATCCTCCTATGTCAGCCTCCTGAGAAGCCAGCGCTACAGGCACCACCATGCCCAGCTAATTTTTTTCTTTTCCTTTTTGGGAGAAATGGGATCTCACTATGTTGCTCAGGTTGGTCTTGAGCTCCTGGGCTCAAGCCATCCTCCTGCTTTGACCTCCCAAAGTGTTGAGATTACAGGTGTGAGCTACTGTGCCCAGCCATCCCAGAGCTTTTGACTCCTCAGTTCCAGACTCTAGTTTTCATATGGAAAAATCAGTATTCAGTCATTCATTAATTCATTCATTCGGTTGATACCCAGCAATTGCACACTTGCTAATCCAGGGAGAATCTAGGACTCAGCAGTTCCAGCTGGTGGCATCATGGTGGTCCTGAGGCCCCGCTGGCTGGCACCAGGGACAGTCACCCCTCTAACAGCTCAGGCTGCACACCACTGCTCTTATGGTTCCCTGGGGCCTGGGCCAGCAAGCCCAGAAGGAACTCAGCCCCCATTTCAGCCCCATGGCAGGCCTCATAGATGCCCCAAGCCACCCAGTTGGTCCAACACATTCCTTTCCTCCCACTGGTGGCGGAAGCCAGGACCTCTCTGCTCTCTTACTGACTTGGCCAAAACTCCCCAGGCCACTCACCTCCAAGACTCAACAAATGGGATGACCTCTTAGTCATTGGCAACCCTGGCCCTCTTTGTCCCAAGTCCTCCCACTTGGAGAGCCACTACCCTCCCTCCAGCTGTGGGTGTAGGCATGGGCTACTCATCCAGTGGGTCATGATGTGGAGTGTTGCCCACTCCTCTCCCTTAAATGCTGTTCTTGTTCAGGGAGAGGAGACAGGCCTGCTTAGCTCTGAGGAGCAGCTTTGGCAGCCCCCAGCCAGGGGGCGGACCCCTACCCAGGGGGACTTCTTGGAGCTGCTTTATTTCACTCCATGTTTCCAGAGCCTCACCTCCCACTTTGGCCCCATCAGTTTTGGGGGATGATGTCTGCCACTGGGCAGCGCCAGCAGGCCTGTGACAGCATGGCACCTCTTTCTGGGCAGGCTTTCCCTTCAGCAGGCCTTTCTGGGCCCCCCAAGTGCCAGGCAAGGGCGAGGCCTCATGCTCCAGCCGGCAGACAGGAGATGAGAAGGAGGATTGGAGAGGCGCATGCACAGGTGAGGGATGGGGCCACGCCTTTGTCTAGGTGAGTGGGGTCTAGACACAGGTCTTCTGGCTGTTGTCTGTGGAAGCGCGGCAGGGCCGCCAGACCCCCTCCTCTGTAGAGGGCAGCCCTTGCACTTTCTGGTCTCCCAGCATCCAGCCCCCACCCTCAGCTCTGCCTTCTCTATCAATGGGGCCCTTAGGGAAGCTTGTCCCTCACTGGAAACGACTTTCTTTTTCCAGGACCCATCCAAGGGGTACAGGGGGTGCCGACTCCACCCGTGGCAGCCCTTGAAGATGTGAAGCCCTTCAGAATCAGGGCAGGGAAAGTCCAGGGGGCCATCCTGCAGTGCGCGCAGGAAGCAGCCTGCGGCCGGAGCTCAGGGCTGGCCAGAGACTCCGGGCAGCCGGCGAATCCAGACAGCACCCCGGGTGCAGCCCCTCCCGACCCCAGTCCCCCGGAGCCCCAGGAGGGCCGTGTCCCAGGGAAGCCCAGCGAGGAGGAGAAGGGCGCCCTGGAGAGCGGCGAGGAGGCCCTGGCCCCCGACGGCGAGGCGGGCAGGAAGAGCTACCGGTGCGAGCAGTGCGGCAAAGGCTTCAGCTGGCACTCGCACCTGGTGACGCACCGGCGCACGCACACGGGCGAGAAGCCCTACGCCTGCACGGACTGTGGCAAGCGCTTCGGCCGCAGCTCGCACCTCATCCAGCACCAGATCATCCACACGGGCGAGAAGCCCTACACCTGCCCCGCCTGCCGGAAGAGCTTCAGCCACCACTCCACGCTCATCCAGCACCAGCGCATCCACACCGGCGAGAAGCCCTACGTGTGCGACCGCTGCGCCAAGCGCTTCACCCGCCGCTCGGACCTGGTCACCCACCAGGGAACCCACACGGGCGCCAAGCCGCACAAGTGCCCCATCTGCGGCAAGTGCTTCACGCAGAGCTCGGCGCTGGTCACCCACCAGCGCACCCACACCGGGGTCAAGCCCTACCCGTGTCCCGAGTGCGGCAAGTGCTTCAGCCAGCGCTCCAACCTCATCGCGCACAACCGCACGCACACGGGCGAGAAACCCTACCACTGCCTCGACTGCGGCAAGAGCTTCAGCCACAGCTCGCACCTCACCGCGCACCAGCGCACGCACCGCGGCGTGCGGCCCTACGCCTGCCCGCTGTGTGGCAAGAGCTTCAGCCGGCGCTCCAACTTGCACCGGCACGAGAAGATCCACACCACCGGGCCCAAGGCCCTGGCCATGCTGATGCTGGGGGCGGCGGCGGCGGGGGCTCTGGCCGCGCCCCCACCCGCTCCCACCTAGGAGGCCAGGAGAGGGGGAGCGGGGCGCCCAGGGCCACTGGGACAGTCCCACTGGAGTCAAGGCCCCGAGGGAGGAAAGATGGGTGCGGGAAGGGAGCTGGGGCGTTGAGGGCATGGGGTGGGGCATGGCGACGTGGGAGGGGCGAGGGCGAGAAAGGGCAGGCACTCTGGCTGCGAAATTAAAGGCCTTGGACTTGAAGCTCCCGCCGACAGCTCTGTCTCCTGAGGCCTTAGCACTGATACCCCAGCATGGGGGAGCTCCTGGGGCAATTCCTTGTCCTCCATGGGGCATCCTGCGATGCCTCATTGGCTTGAGCATCCTCTCCTCCCCAGTCTCCACCCCTTGGTTGGGGTCCCTTTTGTCAAAGGCCCATTCCAGAGTCTTGCACACATTGGCAAGCCAAGACTTCGAGAGGTTTTCAAGGCCAGCCAGCCACTCCTACTCCTGGGGACCTCTTGCCAGGCTGTCTGCTGCTGCTGCCACTTGTCCGAGAGCACTGCTCACTGAACCCACACTCCCCCTCAGCTCTTCTCTTTGGAAGCCAGAAGCAGGCAGAGCTGGTCTGGAAACTCCTGCCTGCCCCATCTGCCACCCAGGCACCGGTGGCTGTGTTCTGTGACTGGTCTTTTCCATCTGCTCCCACCGTGGCCTGCCTGTGGTCCAGTGAGGGGTCCTCACTCACCAGGGACCGCTTTCTTTTTTGGCCCATGCTGCAGCTGCTGCCACCTGCCTCTGCTTTGTCTCACCTCCTCGGCCTCTTGGTATATATCCTTTGTAATTTGCCCTACTTGCCTCTGCCTGGCTCTGATTTACTCCCGGTCTTCCCCTGTTTTTTTGCTTTGTTTTTGTTTTTGAGATGGAGTCTCGCTCTGTCACCCAGGCTAGAGTGCAGTGTGGCACAATCTTGGCTTACTGCAACCTCCGCCTCCTGGGTCCCAGAGATATTCCTGCCTCAGCCTCCTGGGTAGCTGGGACTACGGGCATGTGCCACCATGCTCGGCTAATTTTTTGTATTTTTTTGTAGAGATGGGGTTTCACCACGTTGGCCAGGCTGGTATTGAACTCCTGACCTCAGGTGATCCGCCTGCCTCAATCTCCCAAAGTACTGCGATTTAGGCGTGAGCCCCTCGCGCCTGGCTTCTTCCCTTGGTTTGAACCTCTGCAGCTCCCAACTCCTGTTCTCTGCTTTTTCCCCTGGGTGGGGATGAGCTCAGCCTGGCTGTCATCCCATATCTGTGACCCAGCTCCTGAGATAACTTTCGGCTCTGACACCAACTGATCATGAGGATGTCTGCACCAGGGAGGCCATAGAGACCCCACCTGTCTCTGTGGATTATGGGGCCACCAGGGTGGCCACAGCCCTGGTTGGCTCCCAGCTCCAAACAAAAAGAGTGGCTTGCCTAGGACGGTGGACTGAGGAGAGTAGTCATAGCTACCAGTTGTTAAGCAGCTGCTCTTCCAGGCACGGGGCCAAGCGCAGTAGACTCAGCGCCCCAGCTCTCCACAACAATGTGAGTGCGAATTGCTAGCCCAGGTTTTTCCTTTCCTTTTTTTTTTTTTTTTCCTTTTTGAGACAGAGTCTCGCTCTGTCACCCAGGCTGGAGTGTACTGTGTAGTGGCACAACTTCAGCTCACTGCAACCTCTGCCTCCCACATTCAAGCAATTCTCCTGCCTCAGCCTCCCAAGTAGCTGGGATTACAGGCACGTGCCACCATGCCTGGCTAATTTTTGTATTTTTAGTAGAGACAGGGTTTCTCCATGTTGGTAAGGCTAGTCTTGAACTCCCAACCTCAAGTGATGTGCCCACCTCAGCCTCCCAAAGTGCTGGGATTATAGGCGTGAGCCACCATGCCTGACTGTTTTGTCTTTTTAAAAATAGAGATGGGGTCTTGCTATGTTGCTCTGTCTCAAAAAAAAATAATAGACTTGACCTTCAGAAATGTTAGACTCAGCGAGATGGGGGTAGGGGGATGTAATCAACTGGAAACCAGGGAGCCGCTTACTAGTGGAAGCCAGGAAGGCCTTGTTGGTGTTCAGATGGTCTCTGGAATCTAGGCTAGGGATGCTGGCAGGATTGGTTGCATTAAATGATTATTTATCAGGCCAGAAAGAAAAGCTGTTTCCTTCCTTCAGCTTGTCTTCACCGCTTCAGGCACTCAGAGAAATAGGATTGCTCTGCTTGGCTCAGGGTGAGGGGTAAAGGGAGACTCATTTGTAAAGCAGAGTTGCTCTCAAAGAGTTGTTTTTGTTTGTTTTTTGAGATGAGGCTCACTCTGTCACCCAGGCTGAAGTACAGTGGCGCAATCTCGGCTCACTGCAACCTCCGTCTTCTGGGTTCAAGTGATTCTCCTGCCTCAGCCTCCCCCGTAGCTGGGACTACAGGTGCATGCCACCATGCCTGGCTAATTTTTTGTATTTTTAGAAGAGATAGGGTTTCACTCTGTTAGCCAAGATGGTCTTGATCTCCTGAGCTTGTGATCTGCCCGCCTCGGTCTCCCATAGTGTTAGGAATATAGGTGTGAGCCACCGCGCCAGGCCAGAGAGCTCATTTTCTTAGCAACAGAGGTAGGAGAGTTGCTGAAATGACCCTGGAAGCCATCATCACTTAGCAAGAGAGCTGAGCAGAGTCCTCACTCACACAGTGAGTGTTGCTTGCATTAATTTCAGTTCCTTATGCTGCGTGGTCAGCGTCCCAGGGACCAGGTGTCAGGACTTGAGTGAGTCAGAGGTCTGTTGAGGCTGGGTGTGGTGGCTTACACCTGTAATCCTAGTACTTAAGGAAGCTGAGGCAGGAGGATCGTTTGACGTCAGGAGTTTGAGACCAGCTTGGGCAACATAGCAAGGTTAATTATTCAATTATAAAAAAGAGCCAAGCATGGTGGCACATGCCTGCAGTACCAGCTACTTGGGGGGCTGAGGTGGGGAGGCTGAGCCTGAGTGGTGATCCAGGGAGTCATTTAAAAACTTCACTTTGGCCTCCAGGGAGCCCACACAGCACACAGCATCCTGTTGAAACGTTTCCCCTTTGGTGGGAGTGCAGGGGCACAGGTTCCCAGGATCCCTTGGAGGGCGCCTGCAGATCGCCACTTCCTAGGGCTGGGTCCACTTCGCTCTCCAGGGATCCCTCTAGAGGCCCCATTACTCTTGCCCATAGATCTGCCAGGAGTATCTTAAGAGTGGAACTTGGCAGTTGGGAAATATTCGACAATCGCAAATAAGGCACGTGGGAGTACGGGCTGTGCCATGGAAGGGCCTGGAACGCCAGGCTTATGGGCTCTCATAGCTTGCTGGATGATGGGCGTCACTGACGGGAGGCTGGAGGGAAGAAGCCACCGAACGGTCTTGGTGTCCCCCCGGGGTAGAGGCTGAGCAGGTTCAGCGGTTTCCCTGGCTTCCTCGGGGATTCTCGGCCACTGGAAAACCCCACCAGATCATCACTGACGCTGTGTCAGGAGCACAGTGAGGGCGGAGGCGGAGAGGCACGAGGTTTCCATGCTGGCTTCCCACCTGCTTCCCTGCGGCCCCAGGTCCCTGTTGCGGGCGCTAACGGATCGGCTGACAGCTCTGCCCCCCTGAGCCGGGGGCGTCGGCCTCAGCGCAGTCCTAGCCTCCGACAGCAACTCCCAGCTCCCGGACCCGGTCCGGTGGTGAGGCCGGGAGTCCGCGGAGTCCCAGGGCCCAGCCTGTCGCTCGGCTGCCCAGTCGCCCGCCAGACTTGAGTCCCAAGAGGCCACGACCCCCCGCTCTGCCCTCAGCCAATCAGACAACGGGGCGGGGAGAAAGGCGACTGTAGCAAAACCAACCAATCACGGCTGACGTTTGTTCCCTGTGCGGCCCTCCCCTGCCACGCCCCAAGCCGCATGGTTGCCCCGGCAACTACTCCAGGTTCCAGGGTTTGAAACGTTCCCTCTTACCTTTCGCAGGGCGTTCCTTACCGGAGGAAGCAAAGACCGAAGGGCTGGACTCCGTTTTGCTGCTGACCTCAGTCCTCACAGCCCGCCCCGCCCCCGCCACTGGCTTCCTGGGTCTATCACCGAGATGCCGAGCCTCCTGCAGTCCTAGAGAGGATAGGCTCAGGGCCAGGACCACTTCTGGCTTTGGGCGGCCACTTCCGTCCCCGCTGACTGCCCGCCGATTAGCTGCACTGGTTCCTGCGCCAGGGCTGAGTGGCTTCGCAGCACCTGCTGCGGCGCTGGAGCATCTTCCGAGCTCCCGAGCAGTGGCTGGCTGCGCTGTCAGCTGTGGTGCGGCCACGGCCGGCGGAGAGCGCGGGGAGCAGAGGAAACGCGTGGGCTGTGCGAGGCGGCTCGCGGCTCTGGGATGCCTGAGGGGCAGAGGACGCGGTGGCTCACGCCTGTAATTCCGGCACTTTGGGAGGCCGAGGCGGCTAGATCACGAGGTTGAGTTCGAGACCAACCAGGCCAACATGGTGAAACCCCGTCTCTACTAAGAATACAAAGATTAGCTGGCCGTGGTGGCAGGCGTCTACAGTCCCAGCTACGCGGGAGGCTGAGGCAGGAGAATCGCTTGAACGTGGGAGGCAGAGATTGCAGTGAGCCGAGATCGCGCCACCGCACTCCAGCCTGGGCAACAGAGCAAGACTCCGTCTGGAAAAACAACAAAACAGTAGTGGCATTACTCCATTCCTCACATGTTCATCTTTCTTTTCTTTCTCCTTTTTTTGGGGGGGGGTAGCGGACAGAGTTTTGCTCTTATTGCCCAGGCTGGAGTGCAATGGTGCTATCTCGGCTCCCCGAAACCTCCGCCACCCAGGTTCAAGCGCTTCTCCTGCCTCAGCCTCCCGAGTAGCTGGGGTTACAGGCATCCGCCACCACACCCGGCTAATTACTCACCCCGGGTGATCCGCCCACCTCGGTCTCCCAAAGTGCTGGGATTACAGGTGTGAGCCACTGTGCCTGGCCAATTTTTATATTTTTAATGGGGGTTCACCATGTTGGTGAGGCTGGTCTTGAACTCCTGACCTCAAGGGATCCACACGCCTCAGTCTCCCAAAGTGCTGGGATTATGGGGGTGAGCCACCGTGCCCGGCCTCACTGGTTCATTTTTAAATTCCGAAAAGAATGCCTGCTAATTTAGCAAAGGTCCTCTGCTAAATGTTGAGTCCTAAGTGGTGAAAATTCCAGACAAGACCCTTGCCCTAACGGGGTGTCAGTGTAGTGGGGTAGACTGACAGACACATACATGGTACACACTTTAACTTCAAGTAGTGACAGACGCCAGAAAGAAATGAACTAGGTGAAGCAGCAGAGGAGGTCGGAGCTTCATTGTCAGGGAGGCCCCCTCCAAGGAGGGAACATTTAAGCTGTGACTTGAAGGATGAGAAGGCAATTTACAAGGATCTGGAGCCTTTCAAGCAAAGGGAACAGGATAAACATGAGAAGACTGGTGCCCAGAAGCTGAAATGACCCCCCAAACCCCACTCCCCCCGTGTGGAAGGTAGGGGAGCCAGCCGATAAGGCTGGAGAGACGAGACTTGTCAGGGGGCTGTGGCTTGAGGCTTCTCCCCAGTGTCCTGTGAAGGGTGGAGAATGGGGTGAAGACAGTCCAGCCTTCCTCATCGCACACTTCTCTGGCAGCCTGAGATGTGGGGTCAGGTGGGCTTCCTGCCTGGGGTAGAGGCAGCACCCAATGAATGGCCTGCACCTCAGTAACTTCAGACAGTGATTTTTGTGTTCTCAACTAAGAAAGCCCCAGGCAATCATGAAGATGAACACAGATCTCACAGAGCTTTTCAAGGAATCCGGTGATCCGGTCATTACTGCCTTTGTCAGAGACTTAGTGAAGCCAGTGTCTACTGGTAAAGATCGCTGGGGATAGGGTGGTGGGTACAGGTCCCACATGATAAGGCCGCTCAACACTTCCAGCTTCCTAAGGAGAAGGAGCCTTTGGGTTCCTTCTTCCCTATCATGCACTTCAGGTGTCTCGGTCTTGTTAACTAAAGGCCACCATTGAGTCCAAATTCCACCCAACCAATGGAGTAAACTGCTAAAAAGCCACCAACAGCCACATGCTAACATTAAATTGGAAGTCTACTAAATGCACCTATATTCTCTTTTTTTTTTTTTTTTGGACGCAGTCTTGTTCTGTCCCCAGGCTGAGGTGCAGTGGTGCGATCACAGCTCACTGCAGCGCTGACCTCTCAATCGATCATCCCACCTCATCCTTCTGAGTAGCTAGGACTGTAGGCGCCCACCACCACACCCTGATACTTTTTGTATTTTATGTTACAACTATGTTGCCCAAACTGATAACAAACTTCTGGGCTCAAGCGATGAGCCTCGGCCTCCCAAAGTGCTGGGACTCCAGGTGTGAGCCACTGTTCCCGGCCTCATCTCATCTCTTATATTCTGTCCACTTTGGTATGCTGTCCCTAGACTCTACTCTTGGACCTGTCCCTCAGTTTTCTGCTAGTAAATATTAGCAAAGTCTGAATAATTTAAGTGTATAAGCAATACCCTCCTGGGTCATAATGTGTATCTTTCCTCTCTCTCTGTTTTAGAGATGGAGTCTTGCTCTGTCACCTAGGCCGGAAGTGCAATGGCGCCATCTCCACTTACTGAAACCTCCACCTCCCAGGTTCAAGTGACTCAGCCTCTCGAGTAACTGGGATCACAGGCACCTGCACCTGGCCAGGATCACCTTCTTTACCAACAGTACAGTAACTTTCACGAGAGATTTGTTGGGACTGTAAATGTATCTGTCATTATTATTCAGTAATTCTACAGTTAAGTTTTGTGTTTTTCGGTGATATTATTGTGGCTATAAGAAATAAGAGCTGTGCTGGGCAGGGTGGCTCACACCTGTCATCCCAGCACTTTGGGAGTGTGAGTAACCCCCCATCTAGGCACCGACGGCGGAAAGTCAAGCAGATCCCGGCACAATTAGTGACTGAAGAATCTCTGAGTTTATAGTGTTACTACTCAGTTATTTCCTTTTATATAATCCCCTATATATAGTAGAACAAGTGCCTGAAGAATATCTTACTACTCAGTTATTTCCATATATATATATATAATTATATCTTAGTTCATAGTCAGAGGAATGCCTAGAGCAGACATGGTGCAGAGCATGATTTAAGGGAAAAACAGTTACACCAGGACAAGAACCCATGGCTCAGGCAGCAGCGTTCAGTATCGGAAAGATACCCGCTGTATGGCAGGCTTGGGGCGAGAGCCTCTCCTCCTGACAAAGGAGTCGTAGGACCTTGCTCCAGTTCTTGTGGAAGGCTGCCCTCAGACCAGCAATCCTGCGAGCGTCCGGGGGCTTAAAACCCCTCCGGCATAATCCTGCCTTGGTGACTGAACTTTATCAGCTCTTGTGACTGTGCTGGCTCCAAAGCATCCTCCTATGGAACTCATTGGAAGCTGCCAGCAGGTGGCGGTAACCCTGTCAGCTCTGTCACTGCTGTGTGACTCAGAGCAACCTTCTATAGATACCCTTAGAAGTCGCATGCTCTTAGAAGTAGCATATCATAGATGATATATACTGCGCACTGCACCCGCTTCACTGCGCACGGCTCACCTCCATGCCTCGGTGACCCAACGGGGGGCGGACCCCTCACTGCGCACGGCTCACCTCCATGCCTCGGTGACCCAACGGGGGCGGACCCCTCACTGCGGACGGCCCACCTCCATGCCTCGGTGACCCAATGGGAACCGACCCCTCACTGCGCACGACCCACCTCCATGCCTCCGTGACCCAATGGGAACCGACCCCTCACTGCGCACGGCCCACCTCCATGCCTCCGTGACCCAATGGGAACCGACCCCTCACTGCGCACGACCCACCTCCATGCCTCGGTGACCCAATGGGAACCGACCCCTCACTGCGCACGGCCCACCTCCATGCCTCGGTGACCCAATGGGAACCGACCCCTCACTGCGCACGACCCACCTCCATGCCTCGGTGACCCAATGGGAACCGACCCCTCACTGCGCACGGCCCACCTCCATGCCTCCGTGACCCAATGGGAACCGACCCCTCACTGCGCACGGCCCACCTCCATGCCTTGGTGACCCAACGGGGGCCGACACCTCACTGCGCACGGCCCACCTCCATGCCTCCGTGACCCAATGGGAACCGACCCCTCACTGCGCACGGCCCACCTCCATGCCTCGGTGACCCAACGGGGGCAGAACCCTCACTGCGCACGGCCCACCTCCATGCCTCGGTGACCCAACGGGGGCGGACGCCTCACTGCGCACGGCCCACCTCCATGCCTCCGTCACCCAATGGGGGCGGACCCCTCACTGCGCACGGCCCACCTCCATGCCTCCGTGACCCAATGGGGGCCGACCCCCTCACTGCGCACGGCCCACCTCCATACCTCCGTGACCCAATGGGGGCCGACCCCCTCACTGCGCACGGCCCACCTCCATGCCTCCGTGACCCAATGGGGGCCGACCCCCTCACTGCGCACGGCCCACCTCCATGCCTCCGTGACCCAATGGGGGCCGACGCCTCACTGCGCACGGCCCACCTCCATGCCTCCGTGACCCAATGGGGGCGGACGCCTCACTGCGCACGGCCCACCTCCATGCCTCCGTGACCCAATGGGGGCGGACGCCTCACTGCGCACGGCCCACGTCCATGCCTCGGTGACCCAATGGGGGCGGACGCCTCACTGCGCACGGCCCACGTCCATGCCTCGGTGACCCAATGGGTGCGGACGCCTCACTGCGCACGGCCCACCTCCATGCCTCCGTGACCCAATGGGGGCGGACCCCTCACTGCGCACGGCCCACCTCCATGCCTCGGTGACCCATGGGGGCCGACCCCTCACTGCGCACGGCCCACCTCCATGCCTCGGTGACCCAATGGGGGCGGACGCCTCACTGCGCACGGCCCACCTCCATGCCTCGGTGACCCAATGGGGGCGGACGCCTCACTGCGCACGGCCCACCTCCATGCCTCCGTGACCCAATGGGGGCGGACGCCTCACTGCGCACGGCCCACGTCCATGCCTCGGTGACCCAATGGGGGCGGACGCCTCACTGCGCACGGCCCACCTCCATGCCTCGGTGACCCAATGGGGGCACGCCTCACTGCGCACGGCCCACCTCCATGCCTCCGTGACCCAATGGGGGCGGACCACTCACTGCGCACGGCCCACCTCCATGCCTCGGTGACCCATTGGGGGCCGACCCCTCACTGCGCACGGCCCACCTCCATGCCTCGGTGACCCAATGGGGGCGGACGCCTCACTGCGCACGGCCCACCTCCATGCCTCGGTGACCCAATGGGGGCGGACGCCTCACTGCGCACGGCCCACCTCCATGCCTCCGTGACCCAATGGGGGCGGACCACTCACTGAGCACGGCCCACCTCCATGCCTCGGTGACCTAATGGGGGTGGACCCCCTCACTGCGCACAGCCCACCTCCATGCCTCGGTGACCTAATGGGGGCCGACCCCTCACTGCGCACGGCCCACCTCCATGCCTCGGTGACCCAATGGGAGCGGCGCCTCACTGCGCACGGCCCACCTCCATGTCTCGGTGACCCAATGGGGGCGGACCCCTCACTGCGCACGGCCCACCTCCATGCCTCGGTGACCCAATGGGGGCGGACGCCTCACTGCGCACGGCCCACCTCCATGCCTCCGTGACCCAATGGGGGCCGACCCCTCACTGCGCACGGCCCACCTCCATGCCTCCGTGACCCAATGGGGGCCGACCCCTCACTGCGCACGGCCCACCTCCATGCCTCCGTGACCCAATGGGGGCGGACCCCCTCACTGCGCACGGCCCACCTCCATGCCTCCGTGACCCAATGGGGGCCGACCCCTCACTGCGCACGGCCCACCTCCATGCCTCCGTGACCCAATGGGGGCGGACCCCCTCACTGCGCACGGCCCACCTCCATGCCTCCGTGACCCAATGGGGGCGGACCCCCTCACTGCGCACGGCCCACCTCCATGCCTCCGTGACCCAATGGGGGCGGACGCCTCACTGCGCACGGCCCACCTCCATGCCTCGGTGACCCAATGGGGGCGGACGCCTCACTGCGCACGGCCCACGTCCATGCCTCGGTGACCCAATGGGGGCGGACCCCTCACTGCGCACGGCCCACCTCCATGCCTCGGTGACCCAATGGGGGCGGACGCCTCACTGCGCACGGCCCACCTCCATGCCTCCGTAACCCAATGGGGGCGGACCCCTCACTGCGCACGGCCCACCTCCATGCTTCGGTGACCCAATGGGGGCGGACGCCTCACTGCGCACGGCCCACCTCCATGCCTCCGTAACCCAATGGGGGCGGACCCCTCACTGCGCACGGCCCACCTCCATGCTTCGGTGACCCAATGGGGGCGGACGCCTCACTGCGCACGGCCCACCTCCATGCCTCCGTAACCCAATGGGGGCGGACGCCTCACTGCGCACGGCCCACCTCCATGCCTCGGTGACCCAATGGGGGCGGCGCCTCACTGCGCACGGCCCACCTCCATGCCTCCGTGACCCAATGGGGGCGGACGCCTCACTGCGCACGGCCCACCTCCATGCCTCGGTGACCCAATGGGGGCGGACGCCTCACTGCGCACGGCCCACGTCCATGCCTCGGTGACCCAATGGGGGCGGACCCCTCACTGCGCACGGCCCACCTCCATGCTTCAGTGACCCAATGGGGGCGGACGCCTCACTGCGCACGGCCCACCTCCATGCCTCCGTAACCCAATGGGGGCGGACGCCTTACTGCGCACGGCCCACCTCCATGCCTCGGTGACCCAATGGGGGCGGCGCCTCACTGAGCACGGCCCACCTCCATGCCTCGGTGACCTAATGGGGGCGGACCCCTTGTTTATTGCTCACAACCCTATCACTGTCCTAAAGATGACTTCACTCATTACCCTGCCCGCTAATCTATACCCAATAAATACAGACGCTTCTGGACCTTTGGGGCCTCTCCTGTCTCTGCTTATAAGTGGCGTGGCCCCACTGAGCCCAGCTGTGCTTTCTTTGTACTTCTGTGTCCTGTCTCTTTTATTTCTCGAATCCTGCACCTCAGCACAGCGATAGGGGACACCCCACGACCCTGTAGGTCTGTCACCCTACAGGGAGGCTGAAGTAGGTGGATCATGAGGTCAGGAGATTGAAACCCTCCTGGCTAACATGGTGAAACCCCATCTCTACTAAAAATAAAAAAATTAGCCAGGCATGGTGGCACGCACCTGTAGTCCCAGCTACTTGGGAGGCTGGGGCAGGAGAATCGCTTGAACCCGGAGGGTGGAGATTGCAGTGAGCCAAGATTGCGCCACTGTACTCCAGCCTGGGTAACAGAGGGAGAGTCCATCTCTAAATAAATAAATTAAATAAATAAATAAATAAATAAATAAATATAAATAAATAAATAAATAAATATAAATAAATAAATAAATAAATAAATATAAATAAATAAATAAATAAATATAAATAAATAAATATAAATAAATAAATATAAATAAATAAATATAAATAAATAAATATAAATAAATAAATAAATAAATAAATAAAAAAGACAGCTGCTTCTAAGCTATCACAGAAGTTCTCAGGTTCTCCGACCATGACTTGAACTGAACTAAGGGATTCGGGCGTGTCATTTTCTCACTGTAAATGCTCAAGTGCACTAAAAACAAGGTATCCCATGCCGTCATACATCTGTGGACACCCAGTGGTCAAGCGCGGCAGCTACGTGTTCCCACCAGGTACATGCCTTCATCGGCATTTCCTCATCACCTGCAGGTGGCTGCTTGCTCGTGCTCCCACTGCGTGCCGTGCACACCGAGCACCCTGTGATGGTTAACTTTATCTGTAAACTTACTGGGCCAAGGCATGCCCAGATAGCTGGTTTAACACGGAGCGTGTCTGTGAGGGTTTCTCAGGAAGAGGTTGACGTTTGAATCGGCCGAGTGAGTAAAGCAGACAGCCCTCAGCATGGGTGGGCATCTGCCATCCAGTACGGAATTAAATGCAACACGAGGCGAAGGAAGGCTGAATTCTCTCTGTGCCTGAGTACTGGAGACCTGGGTCCTGGGACACTGATCTCCTGGTCTTGTGCTCCTGATTCTCAGGCTTCAGTCTTGAATTGGACTCTGCCCCATTGGCTCTTCGGCACTCAGGCCTTAAAACTGCAATACTGTTAGGAGGCCGAGGCAGGTGGACAGCTTGAGCCCAGGAGGGCAAGACCAGCCTGGGCAATAGAGAGAGGCTGTCTCTACAGGAAAAAAAAAAGGAAAGAAAAGAAAAGAAAGAAAAAGTTAGCTGGGTGTGGTGGTGTGCACCTGCAGTCCCAGCTGCGCAGGAGGCTGAGGTGGGAATATTGCTTGATCTGGGGAAGGCGAGGCTGCAGTGAACTGTGATTTTGTTTCACTGCAGTCCTGCCTGGGCAACAGAGGAAGACCCCGACTGAAAAAAACGCTAAACCACTGGGCTTCCTGGGTCTCCAGCTTGCAGATAGCATATGTGGGCCTTCTCAACTGCAATCATCACGTGAGCCAATACCTTTGTATATATAGATAAAGCCACATATATATCTTTAAGTAGACATATTAGCTGGGCATGTAGTGGCACATGCCTGTAATTCCAATTAGGAGGCTGAGGCAGGAGAATAGGTGTGTGTGTATATACATACACACACACAGAGACACACACACACAGAGACACACACACACAGACACACACAGAGACACACACACAGACACAGAGACACACATACACACAGACACACACAGAGACACACACACACACACACACACACACACACAGCTCTCTCTTGGCCAAGCATGGTGGCTCACGCCAGTAAACCCAGCACTTTGGGAGGCCGAGGTGGGCGGATCACCTGAGGCCAGGAGTTCGAGACCAGCCTGGCTAACATGGTGAAAACCCGTTTCTACTAAAAATTATCTGGGTGTGGTGGCGCGTGCCTGTAATCCCAGTTACTTGAGAGGATGAGGCAGGAGAATCCAGGAGGCAAAGGTTGCAGTGAGCCGAGATCACGCCATTGCACTCCAGTTTGGGCAACAAGAGTAAAACTTGGTCTCAAGAAAAGAAAAAATAGCTCTCTATTTCGCACACTTGTGCAGTCTCTCTCTCTCTCCACACACACACACCATCAAGCAGCCACCTGCAGTTGATTAAAAACTCACTTGAGCATTTACAGTGAGTTTTTCTGTTTCTGGAGAACGCTTACTAATACATATCCTATTTCTTATTGTCAAGGAGCTCAGTCTGCACTCAAGCCCAAAGACCCAATTAGTCCCTTCTTTGTGCATCTATCTCTTGAGACCACTTCTTGTACTATTTTGTATCAAGCAGGGTCCAATCAGGAGAGGGGAAGCACACAATAATTTGAACTGGGAAAGTTTAATACAAAGAATTAAGCTAGCAGCTGGGCGAGGTGGCTCATGCCTGTAATCCGAGCACTTTGGGAGGCCATGGTGGGCGAATCACCTGAGGTCAGGAGTTCAAGACCAGCCTGACCAACATGCAGAAACCCCGTCACTACTAAAAATATATAATTAATCAGGCATGGTGGTACATGCTTGTAATCCCAGCTACTTGGGAGGCCGAGGCAGAAAAATCGCTTGAACCTGGGAGGCAGAGCTTGCAGTGAGCTGAGATCACACCACTGCACTCCAGACTGGGCAACAAGAGCAAAACTTCATCTCAAAAAAAAAAAAAGAATTAAGCTATAAAGAGCTTGGCATTGCTGGGCCCGGTGGCTCATGCCTGTAATCACAGCACTTTGGGAGTCCAAGGTGGCCAGATCACATGAGGTCAGGAGTTGGAGACCAGCCTGACGAACATAGTGAAACCCTGTCTCTACCAAAAATACAAAATTAGTCAGGTGTAGTGGTGCATGCCTGTAACCTCAGTTACTCAGGAGGCTTAGGCAGAAGACTCACTAGAACCCTGGAGACAGAGGTTGCAGTGAGCCAAGATTGTGCCATTGCACTCCAGCTTGGGCAAAAGAGCTTGGCATTTTCTTTTTTTTTTTGAGACGGAGTTTCGCTCTTGTTACCCAGGCTGGAGTGCAATGGCGCGATCTCGGCTCACCGCAACCTCTGCCTCCTGGGTTCAGGCAATTCTCCTGCCTCAGCCTCCTGAGTAGCTGGGACTACAGGCGCGTGTCACCGTGCCCAGCTGATTTTTGTATTTTTAGTAGAGACGGGGTTTCACCTTGTTGACCATGATGGTCTCGATCTCTTGACCTCTTGATCCACCCGCTTCGGCCTCCCAAAGTGCTGGGATTACAGGCGTGAGCCACCGCGCCCGGCAGAGCTTGGCATTTTATCAAGCGTTCGGCTGATAAGAAGTAAAGAGAATTCTATTTCGTCATAGCAGATAGCAGCACCCATACTTTCTGGCCTGAGTTTGAACACTCAGGCAAGAGGTTTCTCTGGCCCTGGGCTTGTATCCAGACCTTGAAGAGGGCACGTCTGCAGTTCACGGCATGGCAGAGAAGTGGCTGTGGTACCGCATGGGCAGAACTTGCTGGAAATCCATCCTCGATGGTGGAAAAGCTGCTCACAGGGAGGTGTCTCACGAGAGATGCTGCAGAACTGCCTGAAGAGGGTGGTGAGAAGGCTGCTAGTGGGCAGGCACGGGAGAAGTTGTGCAGCTTGTGGGCGCCTGCTGTCACAGGAGCTGCCCATGCCGCGGGAGCTGGGTGCTGGCAAGCCCTGTGTCGTGGGGAAGCCAGACTCGGAAGAAGTCACCCATCAGGCCGGACCCTGGAGAGAACACACCCGAAGCAGAAAGGGAAACTCCATTCTCCGGCAATGTCTCTCCAGCACCCTCGACTGACAAAACTTAAAATCATGCCGGCTGGTAAAGGGAAAACTAAAGGGCCAGAAGCATTTCCCTGAGCAGGCAATGCAGGATGAACACGGGGCCGGGACGTAATCAACAACCAGCACGGGTTTACAGAATGACTCACCTGTAGCAGCTGCCGGAGCTCCCGTGGAACATCCTTGCGGCATGTGCTGACACTTCAAGCACTGTAGGGTCCAGCCCTGCCGGGTCCTGTGAGCCGCTCCCGCCTGGTGCAGAGACGAGGAATTGTAGAAAAAAAAGACACAAGACACAGAGATGGAGAAAAGACAGTTCGGGCCCAGGGGTCCACTACTACCCAAATCGCCGCAGAGACCAGCAGTGGCCCTGAATGCCGGGACGCTCTCACCTTTATTGAGTTGCAAATCTGGGGGCAGGGTAAGTAGGGGGTGGTCTTGGTGGTCGGAGACTGGGGAGAGGGTAGATAGGGCCTGGCAGTGATAGGGTTAAGTACGTCACCTGTCATTCAGGTAGGGGCTCAGGAATTTCTGGCACCTGAAGTGAGGTAAGGAGCATAATGCATCAGCACTTTTTCATACTTATCAAGAAAGAACTAAAACATTATGATTTATATTACTATTACTGATTATCTTTTCTTTCTTTCTTTCTTTCTTTTTGAGACGGAGTTTCGCTCTTGTTACCCAGGCTGGAGTGCAATGGCACGATCTCGGCTCACGGCAACCTCCACCTCCTGGGTTCAGGCAATTCTCCTGCCTCAGCCTCCTGAGTAGCTGGGATTACAGGCACGCGCCACCATGCCCAGCTAATTTTTTGTATTTTTAGTAGAGACGGGGTTTCACCATGTTGACCAGGATGGTCTCGATCTCTTGACTTCATGATCCACCCACCTCGGCCTCCCAAAGTGCTGGGATTACAGGCATGAGCCACTTCACCTGGCCCTAATTTTTGTATTTTTAGTAGAGACAGGGTTTCAACAGGTTGGCCAGGCTGGTCTTGAACTCCTGACCTCAGGTGAACTGACTGACTCAGCCTCCCAAAGTGCTGGGATTACAGGCAGAAGCCACCGCGCCCGGCCTCCATGTTGCTTCTAACTTCCAAGCTGCCCTCGTTCATTTCTGGGTGTGACTAATTTTGAGAGGAATTTAGTTTCTAGTTACAGCCTTTTCCCGAAACAAACCCCCTTCTTGCCTGGGGACCAGACCGCCTTTGTAAGACTAACAAATTAGCCACAAGATTAGAAACCATGGTTTCGTGCAGCCAGAGGCTGTAAGATTCCAAACCTCTCCAGCTGCTCCCAGGGATAACATCACTATCTCAACATCTAAGATATTTTTCAGACCCCGCTCTCTGATGCACCAGCAGGCGCCACCCAGACCAGTAATCTGGCCCAACCAGTTCTGCAATCCCACCCAGGAAGGGGAGACGGCAGGAAGAACCCACTGGCCCACCTGTGATTTCATCTCAGGCCCAAACAATCAGCACTCCTCACTCCTTGGCCCCGTAGCTGCCAAATTATCCTTTGAAAACCACAGTCGTTGACTTTTCAGGGGGACTGATCTGAGTAATAAAACTCTGGTCTTCCATTCAGCCAGTTTTGTGTGAATTAAACCATTTCTCTATTGCAATTCTCCAGTGTTGATTAACCGGCTCCATCTGGGCAGCTGGCAAGGAGAACCCACTGGGTGGTTTTACAAGAAGCCGCACCCGCGTGGAACTAGAGGCAGCAGACAGTGTTGGAGCCTGCATTTTTCTTTCTTTTTTTTTTTTTTTGAGACAGAGTTTCGCTCTTGTTACCCAGGCTGGAGTGCAATGGCACGATCTCGGCTCCTCCGCCTCCCGGGTTCAGGCAATTCTCCCGCCTCAGCCTCCCGAGTAGCTGGGATTACAGGCACACGCCACCATGCCCAGCTAATTTTTGTATTTTAGTAGAGACGGGGTTTCACCATGTTGACCAGGATGGTGTCAATCTCTTGACCTCGTGATCCACCCGCCTCGGCCTCCCAAAGTGCTGGGATTACAGGTGTGAGCCACCCCGCCCAGCCTATTATTGTATTTATATTTCATTTTTGAGTCAGGGTCTCACTGTGTTGCCCAGGCATGGTGGCATTCACCTGTAGTCCCAGTTACTGGGGAGGCTGAAGGGATGGCATTGAGCTGGGGAGGTCGAGGCTGCAGTGAACTCTGGTTCACGCTTCTTCACTCTAGCCTGTGTGACACAAGACACTGTCTATAAATAAATAAATAAATAAATAACTACTACTGCATAATATGCCAATACTGTGGGCTACCACTGCCACCTGCTGGCCATCTCCATGCTGCAGCACACCAACCCTTAAAGGTGTCATTATTATCCCCCTTCTACAGAAAAGAAGACTGAGCTCAGAGAGGCTGTCACCTCCCAGGATCTCGGATGTTTGCAGCAGAGTTGAGACTGAAATCCAGGTCCACTGAACTCCAGAGTGCCTGACTGTAACTGCTCAGCTCTACTGCTTCTCCATACAGAAATCCATTTAATAGGCCGGGCGCGGTGGCTCACCCTGTAGTCCCAGCACTTTGGGAGGCCAAGGCAGGCGGATCACCTGAGGTTCAAAATCTAAGACCACCCTGACCAACACGGAGAAACCCCGTCTCTACTAAAAATACAAAATTAGCTGGGCATGGTGGCGCGTGCCTGTAATCCCAGCTACTCGGGAGGCTGAGGCAGGAGAATCGCCTGAACCCAGGAGGCGGAGGTTGCGGTGAGCCGAGATCACGCCATTGCACTCCAGCCTGGGTAACAAGAGCGAAACTCCGTCTCAAAAAAAGAAAAAGAAAAAAGAAAAAAGAAAACAAAAACAAAAACAAAAAATCCATGTAATAAAAACAACGCGATGGTAAAGAAAGTGGGCAGCAAAATGTACTCCCTCCCGGGTCCCAGAAACAAGCGTCTCTGACCAGGACACTGAGTTTTCTCAACAGAGAAGGGCTTCCTGCCTGTCCAAAAATGCAGAACTGACAGGTGAGGAAGGAACTTCCTTAGGAACTGCTTTTTGTAGGCACTCACCTGCCCCGCAAAGAGCTGCTACAGAACAGAACTCCCCTGAACTTGACTTCTTGCCGGGTCCTACCCCTGCATGCTGGTCAGATGGACCCCCCGTGTCTGTCCTGCACTGTTGGAACCCTTTTACCCTACCGGACACACCCTCATTCCTGGTGATGCGGAGTTCCCTGGGACTAGGGACTGTTGATTGAGCCTTTACTGTGTGCTGGGTCTTCAACAACACAGAAGCATATTTCTTGTGGCGGCATCTGGAGGTGGGTGGGAGGCAGGCAGTCTGGGCGGGGCCAGTCCGGTAGCCCTACCCCACAAAGTGATCAGGGACTCAGGCTCCCCCCCAGCCTGCTGCCCCTCGGTCACTGAGGCGGCCCCTCCACCACGGAAGTGCCGTCTCACACATTCTAGAACAAGGAATAGGAATTCATCACACATGCTGATTAAAATTTTGTTTGCTATTGAGGCAGAGTCTCATTGTGTCACCCAGGCTGGAGTACAGTGGTGCGATCCCAGCTCACTGCAACCTCCACCTCCCAGCTACAAGCGATTCTCCTGCCTCAGTCTCCTGAGTAGTAGCTGGGATTACAGGCACGCTCCACCATGCCTGGCTAATTTTTGTATTTTTAGTAGAGATGGGGTTTCACCATGTTGTCCAGCCTGGTCTCAAACTCCTGATCTCAGGTGACCCACCCACCTTGGCCTCACAAAGTGTTGGGATTACAGGTGTGAACCACCGTGTCCAGCCACTGATTTAAATTTTTTCATCACATGTGAATACTATGTACAACACTGTGTTAATAATTTGAAATCAGGCCAGGCGTAGTGGCTCACGCCAGTAGTCCCAGCACACTGAGAGGCTGAGGCAGGTGGATCACCTGAGGTCAGGAGTTTGAGACTAGCCTGGCCAACATGGTGAAACCCCATCTCTACAAAAAATACAGAAACAGCTGGTGTGGTGCTGTGCACCTGTAATCCCAGCTACTTCGGAGGCTGAGGCAGGAGAATCACTTGAACCCAGGAGGTAGAGGTTGCAGTGAGCCGAAATTGTGCCATTACACTCCAGCCTGGGAGACAAGGGCAAAACTCCATCTCAAAATAAATAAATTTGAAATCATAGATGAAATAAATGATTTCCTGGAAAATATAAACTATCAAAATTTACTCAAGAAGATACAGAAATTCTGAATAGCCAATGTCCCATAGAAAAAATTATACAAATAGACATAAGGAGTAAAGATACTTTTTAAAAGTTAAATTTAAAAAATTTTGGGGGGGACGGAGTCTTGCTCTGTCACCAGGCTGGAGTGCAGTGGCAAAATCTTGGCTCACTGCCTCGGTCTCCTGGGTTCAAGCGATTCGCCTGCCTCAGCCTCTGAAGTAACTGGGACTAGAGGTGTGTGCCACCATGCCAGGCTAATTTTTGTATTTTTAGTAGAGACAGGGTTTCACCATGTTGGCCAAGATGGTCTCAATCTCTTGACCTCGTGATCTTCCCACCTTGGCCTCCCAAAGTGCTGGGATTACAGGTGTGAGCCACCGCGCCCAGCCGATACTCTTTACTTTCAGTTATTTTTTAGAGACGGTATCTAGCTCTGTTGCCATGGCTGGTGTGCAGTGGCATGATCCTGGTTCACAGCAGCCTGGATAGAACTCCTGGGTTCAAGTGATCCTCCCCCCTCAGCCTCCTGAGTACCTGGAACTACAGGTGCCAATAAGCCCAGCTAATTAAAAGATTATTATTTTTTTTTTTGGTAGAGACAAGGTCTCACTATGTTGTCCAGCCTGGTCTTGAACTGTTGGCCTCAAGTTATCCTCCTGCCTGGGCCTCACAAAGTACTGGGATTACATGTATGAGCCATCACACCCAGCCCTCTCTATTTTGAACAGCCATGTGTCCATCAAAAAGCTCCCATTACAGAAGGGGAAAAGCGATAGAGGAGAATAACTAGAAGTCCTTCTGCTGGAAATACGAATATATAGAACTTCCTTAATAAGAACACAAATATCAACCGGGCATAGTGGCGGGCGCCTGCAGTTCTAGCCACTCGGGGGGCTGGGGTGGGAGGATCATTGAGCCTGGGTGTTCCAGGTTCCAGTGAGCAGTGACTGTACCACTGCTGCAGCCCGGGTGAAAGAACAAGACCCTGACTTGTTATTTTGCACAAATACATATCAGAGACCAACAATAGAGACTCAGCTGAATGCCATTAAAAG